ATAAGATCTTGAATGTATGTTTTATCTTCGATCTTTTTTTTCGTAGGAACGTGAGTATGTATATGTTTTATGATGATTGCAATAGTGAGTATAATCTCTTGCAGTCGTGATCTTGTATTTTTCCTTCAAACACGTTGTGTTTAACCGGGCTCGCATTCCGTATCCGTGTTAAGGAGCCTATATGTCCTCATACCCATCTGCTTCCTATTGATAATTGTTTCTCATTGTTTGTGCTCCGGCTTTCTTTCGTGGTCGCTTCAGGTATTCTAATGGCAGCTGGCAGTACGACCCGACCACCATCTTCCGAGACCTGAGAGATAAGCGCTTCGCCTGTCTATTGAAGACCGTCTTTTACCTGTGTTGTTTCTTCTATTATTTGGTCATGGTATGCATTCTGTTTGAAGAAATGTTCTTCCTCTATCAATACTCTATGTTAGTTTGAGGTGTTTGGATGTGATGTGCGGCTCGCCCGTGTGGTTTTTTCTACAGTTGTTCGTGACACGCTACCTGTTAAGCGGTAATTTTCTTTTCCGGGTCGTGTACCTCACAATATGGTCTTAGTGTGGACTCGTTTAAAAACATATTTGATCCCGCTTCTACCCTGGCTCTGGGTTTTTTTAATCCGATAGAAAGGGGAGTTTTATTTTCTGTACTATGTGGTCGATATATGTAGACATGCCAATGTCTCATGTTTCCAGTTATCACGTTTGGTCTACTGTCTGGTTTGGTCATGGCACGTAGTTGGTATAGACTGTTCTTGGCCTTCGTATTCGCACCTACTATCTGGTCATGGTATTGAGTCACGTGTGCCCCTTCTCGCCGGTTTGGTCATGGTACGTAGTTGGTATAGACTGTTCTTGGCCTTCGTAGTCGCACCTACTATCTGGTCATGGCATTGAGTCCTGTGTGTCCCTTCTCGCCATGTCGTTGCGTCCATTGTCGGAGTTATGTGATGCGGTCATTGGTAGTTGAGCTTTGTCTGCGTTGTTCCTTCCCCTATCTGGTGATGAGTGTCCCATCCCCGTTTTCTGGTGATGATTCGTTCCTTCCTTTATTTTTGATGAGGAGTGGTATTCTATATCTGAAATCCGGCGCGTATTTCCAAGTTACTGTGCACGGCCTGCCTAGTTTTTTCTGCTATCTGGTTTTGATGTGTAGTCTCGTCTTTTTTGGGTAGGGGAGTGACTCTGTGGCTGAACTCCATTTTCCTATTCTTGCGTTTGTTTTGCTTCCGTTCACAATTTGCAAACACTACTACTTTGCTGTGCTGGTGTTGTCTTTTCTATTTTTTGGACATATTTTTATGGTCAGCAAGTGGACACTGTGCACCAGTATGCAAAAGATATCGATTATAACGTATACACGAATATATCGTCCTAGGCTATTTTAAACTGTGATTCTAACGCATGATATTTCTTCAAATTTGTATAGATGATAGTCACGGCTACCAAGAAGGACGAGTAAGTCCGCTATTATCCTTGCAGTCCGAATTTTGTACCCGAGTAAGACGAATCCAGACAGCGGAGCATAAGGACACCTGGTACAATTCCACGCTGGCAAATTCGTGCCCTTTGTTGGGTGACTGCACACGTCGATTGGCCATAGTTCAGAAAGTCCATTCGAACGCCTGTTTGTATCTTGCTGGTCATCCATAAGCATGGGGTACGCCTCTCGGTGTGGACTAGTGTAGGCAGCTATGGTTGCCGGCTGGGGGGTTATCGTAGCTAAATGTTGGGTTGTATGTCTTTGGCTTATGGTATGCGGTATAGAGGTTGGTTTACTGGATAGTCTTCACATTTGACGATCGGTGCTACATGATCGGAGTCGTCGCGCACCGCCAGCCCCGCGTTGATGGCCAGGTATACTTGCTTGTGCACACTGTGCGTGTACACGGTCATGTGTGCGCATGTACACGGCCATGTGTACACTTGTACTAGGGTTCATGTGGGTGTGTACGCTGAGTACTATTCAGGGAAGGCCGGCATGCATTCACTTTTTAATGAATGGCGCAGAGATGCCACACCAAGCATCAAAAAGAGCGCGCGGAACAATAAATTTATACCATGATGTGTATCTGTGTCTAACTTTTCGGCAGTCCACCCTGTCTAAGTATCCTGTGTCTGGCTTGTATACCTTCAGATGTCGGCAATGGCAGTCGCATAGCAGCGATTTTAACAATCATGATTTACTGCGGATTTGACGAAAGCTGCATGAATGTACCGTAGTATATCCGTACTACACTATAGACTTCAAGTTTGCATACCCGCATAGGGACGTAGATGTACACCATATCTATCAACGGGTCTAAAATTTTAATCCAAGATATGACGAGTTCAATTTATTTGTAATCTTGTAAGACCATAATGCAATTTCAATTTGCAATTGGTACGCCATGCGATACAACAGTGGTTTCAGATACAACATGCTGATACATTATCAAAACATAAAATATGCTTCTCGTTCAGGTTATCTAAATGTTCTTCAAGTAGTGAACTACGCTGGTTCATGATCAATCCAAAAAATCTTGATATATTGAACCGTTTGCGCGAAGGAAATTTGCATTCGATGTAACCCCGCATATTGGTATTCCCTTTGTTTTCCTATAACATTTGGTTGCAGAAGGGGTATCAACACAAAGTAAGCACTAATATGTGATCAAAAATACAGTGCGTATGAAATATAAGTCTGATTGTTGTAATGATAATTCGTTTAATATTCTTTGGGTATTTTGGTGTTCTATATGTGCATTTGATCTCTAGGAGAAATTTCTAGACCTTGTTACCTCCGAAACTCATAGTGGAAGCACCACCGTCAGAAAATCCCATAGCAGACTGGTGAGAGATAATACTTTGCTCTTCTTTCTTTGCTGAGCGTCTGCGCATGACTACAATACCTGCAACGACGAAGCAGCAGCAGCAGCAGCACAGCAAGAGTATAGCTGCGATAGCTCCACCGATAAGCATCATGTTGCTCTCCTCCTCGTGAGCTGCCGCAGTTGCACCTGCAGCGGCACCAGCACCAACGGCGGCGGCTTGAGCAAGGTCTTCAGCGGTGTAGCGAACACCAGCTTCCTGATCCACAGCCACCTCACCAGCATCACGTGTGTTCATACCATCAAGAGAACGACGACGACGCGCGGATCCGTCATCGTAATCCACAAGAACTGTGTAGTTCATGGTGATGGCATTTCCCGTACGGTCAGAGGTGGCACAGGCCATCTGAGCTGTAACTTGATGAGGCATGGAAATGGTCTGTGCTGCAGGATCGTACGTCTGTGTAAATTCGGGGTTACCTTCGGAAACATCACCGAGATAATCAGCGAATCCTGAGCAATCGCCGTCGGTGGTTCGCTCGACATATGTGACTTCAGCGTTGTATAGAGATACTCCACTGAGAGAAGTATCGACAGTGATCTGCCAGTACGACATGGACCCAAGGTCGAAGATAGTCTCGGGATTATCATAGGTGTCAGAATCAAATACCTCAATCGACAATTCGAATAGAGCATCTAGCTCGAACTCCTCCACCTCGCAGAAATTATTAGTGTCAATAAAAAAGATAACAGTGGCGGGATCAGACTGGATATCGGGGCACACTGCGGGGTTGCCATTATCATCCGTCTCTTGGCACGCAATCATGAGCTCATTTAACGAGTACTCGCCGGTTAAATCGCATGCAACAATATCAAACACGACGTTCTGAATGCAATCATCACCAACAGCTTGTCCATTGCAAGATTCATCTACGACGTACTCTGAGATCGCGCTCACTTCAGCCTCGAAGCTTTCCTCAACTCGACCTACAACACCTGCGCTGTTGCTTATAGTGAAGGGGGCGGGCAAATGAATCTCCAGACGAATTTTGGAGTGATTCCAACCATCGAAGAATCCTACATCTACCAGATTGATGGCAGCCTCAATCTCCGCGGATTCGTATTGAGCGTTGATGGTAGCTGCGACATTGCGCACAGTGTCAATTTGTACCAAAAGATTCGTGACAGCATTACCCTCGCGAGTAACAGGTAGCCGAAGAAGGTTTTCATCGTCAACCTTCTCGACATACTCATCCCACTGTGCTTCAACCTGAGCACGGTACGAAGTGAAGGTGGCAAAATCTTCGATTGTAGTTCCACATCCATCATCTCCACCCAATTTGTCGAAAGCAACACTAAAGTCTAGTTCTGAGCGACAATTACCCAGCAGTTTGTAAACACCGCCCGTCAATTTAGCCGGGTGATCGACAGCGTAGTGACAATCGGCAAAATAGAAATCGTTGAGCTTTCGCTCGTTGTGCCAAATACCTACATCAGTCCTAAGATTAACCTTGTTGTTCGACACAGTAGCTCCCATGATTTCGATACTGAAGTTAGCTTGCAACGCATAAGGTTCGGCAAGATCACAAGCTTCAGCACCCGGTGTACCTACTGAAATTCCGTCCAAGGTGGAACTGTACCCTTCCATGTTGCCAAACGCAAAAACTGGTGCAGCAAGATCAGAAACAACAAAAAGTGCATCCGCACCCTTAACTATGATCTTCTTGTCCACGACTATAGGGTCACTAATAGCGTACTCTCCAGCTTCTAAGTTGATCGTATCACCACTAGCAGCAGATGCGACTATCGCCTGTAAATTAGCCGGACTTGCCGTAAGTTCGGCGCCGGCAACATACGATGCTAACGCCGCTAGTACTGTTCCCTGAAGCTGCATACTGACTCAATGCGTTTATGCTTTCTACAGTTTTCGATTGACACGATAGAAGTGATTAATGGTGACCCACATAAGTGCTATATATACAAACACAGTTTAAAAATATCGGCGGATGTTCTATTAGCTTCGTGGGGGACTTTTTCGACCGCGGCCGGCCCTGCGCGAGGTTCCGCGACTAAGGAGTAAGAGTTCGACCTCGAAAATTGAAAATCCAAATTCTGAAACTCAGAAAATCAGAAGTCGTCAACTCGCAATTATACTCGGAGCAAAGTATCAAAATGTTGAGTAGAAAAATTGATAACAATTGGTGGATATAAACAGAGCGCAACACTATTTGTGTGATTAAACAACTTGTATGATGAATTTTAAAATTAGTACATTCTTTCCAATTGTTAAGTTATAACATTGATGTTTTTATTGAAACCCATTTCCGGTTGATCCACTTTTTCAACAACAACAAAAAACATGTTTAAAAAAATACATTTTAACTGTTCAAACTTCACTATTTTTAATTTTCATTCTGGTTTTCACTATATATTGTTTTTAAATAAATATATTAAAAAACAAATAAAAACTAATTTCTTTCTTTAACAATTGATGTTTCTTTTTTTTTTTTAAGTAAAATAAAAAAACAAAATTACAAATGTATTTATGTATTTGCGAATAACAAAACAAAACAAAAACATGGGTTTTACTTTGCTATGTATGTATTTATATAAACACTGTTTAGAAAAAAAAATAGTAAAGAAATTCAAATGTTTTTGCCTTTTCTACAATAGATTTTTTTCTCAAAACAAAATACATAGAAATTTTTTTTTCACACAGGTATGTTATTACAAGTATCAAGGTGGAGCACTTCACTCCTATTTTTAAATGCAGGTTAAAAATTGTAAAACTTCATTGCTAAAAACATTCTTCGTAGGAAAGTGGCAACCGGGTCTCTAGTAGCAAGCCCGGCAAGGTTGTCTGATATTTTTTTAACAAAAAGTGTTGCTGTTTGTTTTTAGCAAAGGTTGTTTTTTTAAATTTTACCAAAGAACTCTCTACAGAACACCGGGCCACAGACGAAGTTCATCACGTTATGGGGGTATGGAATAGAGGCTGCACGTAAACACATATTTACTCAAGTTTAATACGTTACAACGGATATAATGTGATCAGAAGGGCCTACCTAGTTTATAGGACTGGTTCGTATGGTTAAATCAGTGCACACTTAGCCGAAAAGAGCACCTGTGAGCATACAATGACCGTATATGGAATAAAAGTTGAACGTAAACGTATTTTATTCGATTTATAAAAGTTTTAACGGAAAACGGCTCGAGGTCAAGGCCACAGGCTACGGCTTAACGAGGTACGACCTGTTTTTTAAAACCAAAACCAAAAATCAATATTGTCTTAAAAAAACCAAAAACCAAAAACTTCATACGGCTCAATATGCGTGCAAAATATAATTTGGTTTCTTTTTTAAAAAAACAAAATACAAATGTCTTGATGTTTGATTTTGGAACAAATAGACGACGCTAAATAGCCAGCCATGCCGCAGACTGCCATCACTCCAACCGCCAGTCCAGAGGGCCATAGGATAGCTCATAGGGCATGTGGCCGTAGGCTATGCCTCTAAATATTTACAGACTCTCAGACTCTCAGCCTCCGTCCAAAATCAAAAATACAAAAAGTAAATACATATTTATGCTGATATTTATTTATGTCCACATAAATTCATATTCCTATTTTTTCTAATGCATCCCGTTAAAATTATTTTCGTCTACTACTAGAGTGATCTAGTTATTGCCGTTGGGTGAGAATCCATTTTTCATCCAGCGACAATTTCTCTACTCTCTACTAGTAGTGTATGGTGCAGTTGCTTTAAAAAGACGTTCCACCAACTAAAAATTAAAAGCCGATTTACACTGTGAAGAAATTCGAAATCTCAAAATCGGGTTTCGCAATGGTGATTGTTTTGATGAAAGGAAGCTAAAACTGCCGTGTGAAATTTCGGCGTGGCCATTATACTGACTTTGGGCGGCCAATATTGAACTTGGGGGCGGCCAATACTGAACTTGGGGGCGGCCAATACTGAACTTGGGGGCGGCCAATACTGAACTTGGGGGCGGCCAATACTGAACTTGGGGAGCGGTCAATATATTCTAGGTCCTACAACCACATATGGTACTTCACAGTCGGCTGTCGATTTGAATCCCTTGTGGCGTGTGTACGTCAATAAATAAACAGATGCATCGCTACATGATATACATAGTGTTATTTTATTAACAATCTTTTCAATTTTTGGCCGTCATTCGGCTGTGACAATGTCGTACACATTCTCAGGCACCCGACGATGTGATGTGTATTCTTTGAAAACTCCGCAAGCTGTAACGTTAAGCCTTTATCAGTCTGATTTTATCTAATCTAACTCCGTCTAGTGCTTCAATAACATTATTCTGTAGTCCTGCCGATGTGTCATCACAGAACTCTTTCACGTCGTTTCGCTCACCTATCTCCTGTATCAAAGATTTGTGGCTTCGAAAATCTTCATACTGGTCAAAAAGGCATGTACAACAATCATCACAATATGTGTCTCCCGCGTTCTTGTTGCAGTCGCCACGACTGGCACTTTACGATCTTCACCTTTATCTCGTAGTCGCCGTCTTTGGTGGCATCGTGTATTATACGGCATATGACTAAATACGTATGTATGACTACTATTTTCAGAAGGCTATGTAGAAGGCCGTGATGTAAACAACGCTGTAAACAATATTAGCATTGTTTACATACAGTCATACATATTCCTTCTTTTTTTTATTAAATACTAAAAATAAAATATTAAATACATGAGCTCTAGGCGTCTCGCTGGCCTGGCCCTGGCCCTAGACTCTAGAGCGATTGTATCTATACGGCACCCGTGACTATAAAATTATCAACGCCCGAGCCGTGTCGAAAACCGCATCCGGTCCATTCGCAAAGGTAGGGTCGATATTTATGAGCCCACGTAAGGCGACCTTAGCCTAAGTGCCGAACTATTAAACGTGCAAACTTGAAAAAGATATCTTTGCCGATACAACAGTCCAGTATACAGTATCATTTTTCGGCACATAATTTACACCTATCACCTGAAATACAATACAACGCCTCAGACTAGAGTCAATGTTCTGTTGAACTTGTGAGCGTGGATTAGTGGACCCATACTTCATACTTCTGACTTAATATGTCTCCATACTTCTGAATATTATTAAAAAAAATATCGTTTCATAGCCTTCTAAATTGCATAGCCTTCTAAATTATGCACAAGAGAGCGAAGGCTATGATCGTATGGTTTGCACGATTGCACTGTAGATGAACAATGTTGGATTTTGTTTTGTCCCGTTCTGTTGCAAATTTCAGGTCCAAGGGATTTTGTCCTGTTCTGTGATTTCATCAACCGCAATTCTAGATTTTTTCAGAATATAAATTCTAAAAAATATCACTTGGTTCATATAGAAATACAAGGGCTCGGCGATATTATACTTTTATAGTCACGGGTGCCGTATGTATAGACACAATCTCTGGCCTCTCACTCTGCAGTAATATGAAGCAGTAAGCAGAAACTGCAGGTCTGCCCCTCTCTGGTCCACTCTTCTTGTGGGTCAGTGAAGAACGGGACAGGAAAACTGGGACTTTGATGATGTGATTTGTTTTTTTGTTGTTTTTATGTTGTTTTTTTTGTTGTTTTTATGTTTCTAACCCAAAAAAATTTGTTTGTGTTTTTCGAACATATTTAGAAGCAGACTAGCAGAGCTGTTCAATTTAGGCGGCTATAATAGAAGGCTACGAAAAGTCTATTTATGTGTAAAATGAACCAACGAAGCGTGTAAAACTACGCATCGGATGTCCATGATGTTGACCTTTATTGCGTATATGAGGAAATTGGTATGTGTGGAAGTGATAACATTCACATATCACAAGTATCATGTGTGCATAAGCAGAAGGCCCGTGGGATGCTAATGAGGTACTTATTTTAGCTGCATTTGTATTAAGCAAGACTCGCGTTTTCTACCTACTCTCATAGCTTGAATCTTTGAAGCCCACGACATTGTTTTTGAAATAGTATGAAATAAATTTAGCGATTCAATCCCTCGACAGGTAATTTAATCTCTTGACCTATTGTTCCTCACCAACGATGGCAACGCAATGAAAGGGACAGATATAGCCCAGTTGTAGACCCATTGACTTGAGTACATATAGAATATACGTACACATTAGTATATATATATATATGTGTGTGTGTGCGTGTGTGTGTGTGTGTGTGTGTGTGTGTGTATATGTATATTTATATATATATTATATATATATTATTATATTATAATATTATTATATATATTATTTATATATTATATATTATATATATATATATATATATATATATATATATTATATATATATATATA